CCAGAGCAGGGCACCGTGCCCGGGTTGGCCTCGGGGACAAACCCTGGTCAGACCCCTCCTGCAGAGGGGTTCCCCTGCGCCCCCCGCCCATCCCGGGGATCCCCCGGACCCGCCGGGACCCCCCAACCCCGGGAGCCCCCCATGGCCGTGCTGGTGCTGCCCCCTGCGGGAAACGGGGCCGCGGTGCAGCCGGGGAGAGGGAAACGGGAATGGGGAACGGGAAATGGATTGGGGTACGGGAAAAGGGAATGGGGTACGGGAATGGGGATTGGGGTATGGGGTACGGGAATGGGGTACGGGAAACGGGATTGGGGTACGGGAAAAGGGTTTGGGGTACGGGGAACAGGAATGGGGTACGGGAAATGGGAATGGGGTACGGGAACGGGAATGGGGTATGGGAAACGGGAATGGGGTACGGGATTGGGGTACGGGAAACGGGAATGGGGAACGGGAACGGGAATGGGGTACGGGGAACGGGAATGGGGTACGGGAACGGGAATGGGGTATGGGAAACGGGAATGGGGTACGGGAATGGGAATGGGGTACGGGAATGGGAATGGGGTACGGGAATGGGGTACGGGTAACGGGGATTGGGGTATGGGAAAAGGTATTAGGGCACAGGAATGAGGATTGGGATATTGGAAAAGGGGGATTGGGATACAGGAAGAGGGGGTTTGGGATACAGGGAAATCCTGGTACAGGATAATCCCATTCCACCCCTGGCATGGGCAGGGACGCCTTCCACCATCCCAGGCTGCTCCCAGCCCTGCCCAGCCTGGCCTTGGGCACTGCCAGGGATCCAGGGGCAGCCCCAGCTGCTCTGGGCACCCTGTGCCAGGGCCTGCCCACCCTGCCAGGGAACAATTCCTGCCCAATCTCCCATCCAGCCCTGCCCTCTGGCAGTGGGAGCCATTCCCTGTGTCCTGTCCCTCTGTGCCTTGTCCCCAGTCCCTCTCCAGCTCTCCTGGAGCCCCTTCAGGCCCTGCCAGGGGCTCTGAGCTCTCCCTGGAGCTTCTCCTCTCCAGGGGAGCACCCCCAGCTCTCCTGGAGGAGACAGCACATCTGGGGGATCCTTGAGACTGTTTTTAGGAGGGAGAACTGTGGTGGGCAGCTCCTTGTGGCACAGCCGGGGCTCCCCAGGGACTCTGAGGAGCCACCAGGCCAGGAACGAAGCAGTTAAACTCTGTACAAAACACAGGCCGGTGATGTTGTGTTGTATAACAGACAGATAATATGTTTTTTCCCGGCATCTGTGCTCCAGCTTGCCTGAAAAGCTCCAGACCTGAATTTCAGCCCCTGTCAGCAGTTCCAGCGCAGCCTCGCAGCGCTGTCACCCGCAGTAAATTACCGGCCTGGCGTTAATCTGCCCGAGCCCAGAGAACCGAGATCCCGGCAAATGCAACTCCCAGACATCCCCTGCGAGCCGCAGCTTTTCAATCCATTCGGGGGAAGCAGCGCGGGGGTTTTATTGGAAGGCAAACATAAAGCTCCGCTCCCGAGCCCAGGGGAGGGGGATAAAGCCACCCCGGCCCGGGGCGGGGGGGACAGGCCATTGTTTGCCACAAAGGACAGGAAACGAGCCTCAAAGGGGACATGAAAGAACCTTAAAACAAATGCAGATCGGCGAGCGGGGATGGCTCCGAGCATCTCCCGCCTGCGCTGCCCGGGGCGGATCGGAGCGGGGAGCCGGGGACCGCTCGGACCTCTCGGACCTCTCGGACCTCTCAGTGCGGGACCTGCCTGTGCCCCCAGGAGTGGAGGGGAAAAGGGCCAGAGGGGCCTGGGATCCCCCCGAACCACCCCACCACTGCGGCCGGGCTCGGTGGTTGTGGAACCGTCAAATCAAGGAATGGTTTGGGGTGGAAGGGACCTTAAAGTGCCACCCCTGCCATGGCAGGGACACCTCCCACTATCCCAGGCTGCTCCAAGCCCTGTCCAGCCTGGCCTTGACCTTATGGTTAGACTCGATGGTCTTAAAGCTCCTTTCCAACCTGAAAAAGTCCAGGATTCCAAACCCCTTCCCTTCCAAATCCCTTCATTCCCACAGGATGGGACTGAGCCGGGCAGGACACTCAGAGCCTTGGGCTGCTCTCCTGCTCCTTCAGTGCTCCCAAACCTCATCCCATCCTCCATCCCCCTGCCCAGCTCCACCCAGCCCCAGAACTGGGTGGGTTTGGGTCTCCTTAGGGCCCCCCTAGGAGGGGAGCTGGTGTGGTGCCCTGCAGGAGCTCTCTGGCTGGAGAAACCGAGTCACAGAGGTGCCAAAAACGCACTAAAGCCAGTTTTTCTACACGGAGATATCCCTTATCTGCTCTGCAAAGCAGGGGTTTGGTCCCTTTGGAGTCGAGCCCCAGTGCTGAATGTGCTGCTCCTCCCAGTGAGAGCAGGCTGCCTTGGAGCCAAGTGGCAGCAATGACCCGCAGTGGCCCACAAAGCCATTTCCTGCCATACAAGGCAGGCTGGTGGCCCTCTGCCAGAGGGGACAATGAGGGACATGGGCCCTGGCCTGTGAGCCCTCGTGTTCCTGTTTACTTGGAGCCTTGCTCGTGGATCAGAGAGATTTCTCTGGCTCCTTTCTCAGCGATTTGGAGCGCAGTGGCAGCAGCAGCTCCCAAATCCTGCAGGAATCCTCCTCCTGTGTGGGGTCCCTGGCATTGGTGGCTCTGTGTCATCAGGGGGGACCTTCCCCAGGCCTGCAGGGGGTCCCACCGGCTCTGTCACCCCCTGGAAGGACAGCAGGGCCCGAGGCCACCTCCTGTGCCACCAGCAGCATTCCAGGCTGGCCAGGAGGAGCCCAGGGCTCAGTGTGCTGCTGTCACAGCAGGGAAGGGACAAACATCACCCAGCCCCGCAGGGAGGGGAGTTCCCGCTGTTATCTCATCCTTCCTTCAGCCCAGAGCCCGACCAACACCCTGCAGCTATCAGCCAGGCACGGCTGCAGAGGGGCTGGGACAGGACAGGGGCTGTGCAGGGGGACAGCAGTGTGGCACTGGGGACGGGAAAGTGGCACTGGGGATGGGGAAGTGGCACTGGGGACGGGAAAGTGGCACTGGGGACAGGAAAGTGGCACTGGGGATGGGGAAGTGGCAGTGGGGATGGGAAAGTGGCACTGGGGACAAGAACATGGCCCTGAGGATGGGAATGTGACCCTGGGAATGGGAAAGTGGCACTGGGGACAACAAAGTGGCCCTGGGGACAAGAACATGGCCCTGGAGGTAGGAATGTGGCACTGAGGAGAAGAACATGGCCCTGGGGACAGGAACGTGGCACTGGGGATGGGAACGTGGCCCTGGGGACAAGGATTTGGCAGTGGGGACAACAAAGTGGCACTGGGGACAGGAAAATGGCCCGAGGAATGGGAATGTGGCATCGGGGACAAGAACATGGACCTAGGAATGGGAATATGGCAGTGGGGACAAGAACATGGCACTGGGGTTAGGAACATGGCACTGGGGACAGGAAAGTGGCATTGGGGATGGGAATGCGGCACTGGGGACAGAAAAGTGGCATTGGGGATGGGAATGCGGCACTGGGGACAGAAAAGTGGCACTGGGGACAAGAACATGGCCCTAGGAATGGGAATATGGCAGTGGGGACAAAAACACAGCACTGGGGAGAAGAGCATGGTGCTGGGGATGGGAATGTGGCCCTGGGGACAGAAAAGTGGCACACGAGACAGGAATGTGACACTGGGGATAGAAAAGTGGCATCTGGGATGGGAAAATGGAATCAGAAATCACCGAGGTTGGAAAAGTCCTCCAGGATCATCGAGGCCAACCATTGTCCCAGCACTGCCAAGGCCACTACAAATCCATGTCCCCAAGTGCCACTCCAGGGATGGTGACCCCAGTGTTGCCCTGGGCAGCTGTGCCAGGACCTGGCCCCCCATTCTGTGAAGGAATTTCTCCTGATCTCCAATCCAAACCTCCCCTGGAGGCCTTTCCTCTTGTCCTGTGCCTTGGGGTCAGGAGAAGAGCCCGACCCCGACCTGGCTGCACCCTCAGGAGCCAGGAACTTGCCCGAGGCACCTGGGGGTGGGAGCGTGGAGCTGGAGAAGGGATTGTGGTGCCTGGAGGAGGGAACAGTCCCTGGGGACGGGAACATGGTGCCTGGAGTTGGGAATGTGGCTCTGGAGACTGGAGCACCACACCTGGGGATGGGAACACGGTGCTTGAGGATGGGAACATGGCTCTGGAGATGGAACCATGGCTCTGGAGAAGGAACCATGGGATCTGGGAATGGGAATGTGGCTCTGGAGAAAGAATCCTGGTTCTTGAGGATGGGAACATGGCTCTGGAGATGGAACCATGGTATTTGGGAATGGGAACATGGCTCTGGAGAAGGAACCATGATATCTGGAGAAGGAACCATGATATCTGGAGATGGAACCATGGCTCTGGAGATGGAACCATGGCTCTGGAGATGGAACCATGGCTTTGGAGATGGAACCATGGTATCTGGGGATGGGAATGTGGCTCTGGAGTTGGGAACAAGCTGCTGGGGAAGGAACCATGGTACCTGGGCATGGGAATGTTGTTGTGGAGGAGGAACCATGGTGCTTGAGGATGGGAGCACAGCACTGGAGACTGGAACACAATGTTTGGCGGTGCTTGAGGATGGGAAAGTGGCTCTGAAGATGGGACTGTGGCTCTGGAGAAGGAATTCTAGTTCCTGAGGACGGCAACATGATGCTGGAGACCGGCACACATTGCCGGGGGATGGGAATGCAGCTCTGGAGATCGGAACGCGGTGCTGAAGCCTGAAGCACAGCATCCGAGGATCCGAACGTGCCACCGCAGACGGCAGCTCGGTGCCCGGGGGCAGAGCCGTGCGGGCGGGCCGGGGCCGTGCGGCGGCGGGACTCGAACCCGCGTCCCTCCGGGCGGTGCGCGCACGGGGCGCTGCCGGCAGGGGGCGCCGCCGCGCGCGCCTTTGTTGCCGTTGGCGCCTCTTCCTGCGCCGGGCGGCGGCGGCGGCGCGCGCGGGCGGGGGCGGGAGCGGCACCGGGAGCGGCACCGGGAGCGGCACCGGGAGCGCAGCGCGGCTCGGGCTCGGCGGGGCGGAGCGGCGGGGAGCATGGAGATGGAGAAGCGCTTGACGCTGGAGCTGCGCAACAAGAAGCCGAGCGAGGTGCGGCGGGGAGCGGGGCGGCACGTGCTGCGGGCGGGGAGGAGGAGGAAGAGGAGGAGGAGGAGGAGGAGGAGGGAGAGCGGCCCGCGGGGGTCCCGCACGGCGGGGACCGGGCGGGTTTGGCGGGGTGGGGATGGGGCGGTAGTGGCGGGTTCGGCGGCGGGAGCGCTCCCGCCCGGCCCGCAGCCCCGGCATGGCGGCGCGCACGTGCGCGGCGGGGCCTGCCCGCACCGGGGCCGCGCTGGAGGCGGCGGAGGGGCCCGGCCCGGCCCGGCCCGGAGGGGCGCGGGGGGCAGCGGGGCGGGCACGGCACGGCCGGGCCGGGCCGGGCCGGAGGCAGCGGGCCCGGTGCGGGGCGGCCCCGGCGGCCATGGCGGCCCGGCCATGTTAGCGGGGCCCGGCCGGGCCCGGAGCGGCTCCCGCGGGCTCCTCCGCCCGGGGAAGGGCTCCGGGGCTGCGGGGATCAACCTTGAGGTGCCGCCGGGGCCGCCCGGTCCCCTCCGCTGGAGGCCGCGGGGCCGGGCCCAGCGCTCCTCGGCCGCCCCGGGGCCGCCTCGTCCCCGGCTCCGCTCCGGCCGCCCCTTCCTGGATCTCCCGTTCCCTGGATCTCCGGTTCCCCGGCTCTCCCCGTTCCCTTTCCTTGGATCTCCCGTTCCCTGGATCTCCCCGCTCCCTTTCCCTGGATCTCCCGTTCCCCGGCTCTCCCCGCTCCCTTTCCTTGGATCTCCCCGTTCCCCGGTTCTCCCCGCTCCCTTTCCTGGATCTCCCTTTTCCCTGGATCTCCCTTTTCCCTGGATCTCCCTTTTCCCCGGCTCTCCCCTTTCCCCGGCTCTCCCCTTTCCCCGGCTCTCCCCTTTCCCCGGCTCTCCCCTTTTCCCTGGATCTCCCTTTTCCCGGCTCTCCCTTTTCCCGGCTCTCCCCATCCCGGGGCCGGGCCGTGGCCGGTCCCTCCCTGGCCCGGGGACTCTCGGTGTCGTGGCACCCGAGCCCGGGGGGAACGGGCGGCGAGCGGGGCTTTGGGTGGAGATTAAAGCGGCTCCGTGCCCGGCCGGGGGATTTGCAGTCGCGGAGCTGCTGGGCAGGAGGAGCTGCGAGCGCCTGGTGCCCGTGGAGTGACGCCAGGAATTGCAGAGCCAGCGGGGTCAGGCTGGGTGTCCCCGCTGTGTGTCCCGGGCCATCAGAAAGGGCCCGGCTGGGCTAAAGCTGCGCTTGGCCGGGTTGGGCACGGGTCACCCAGAGCAGCTGTGGCTGCCCCTGCATCCCTGGCAGTGCCCAAGGCCAGGCTGGACAGGGCTTGGAGCAGCCTGGGACAGTGGGAGGTGTCCCTGCCATGGCAGGGGTGGCACTGGATGGGCTTTAAGGTCCCTTCCAACCCAAACCATTCCAGGATTCCATGGTGGTGGAGTTCAGGCTCAGCTCTGTGCCCGCACCTCACAGCAGCAGCCACTCAGTTCTGCCCTTTGCCACCTTTACATCCCCCACGGTGACAGTCCCGGTTTGGTTGGAGCACGTCAGTTTTCTGTCATGCTGGGAGCAAAACAAACTCTGCTCCAAAACTTCGGAGAGCCTCCACTCAAACCCCCAAGGACCAATGCCGCTTGAGGAGTTTGAAGCCATAATTCATTCTGAGCTTGTGCTGTGAAGGTGGCAAAGATGGCCCAGCAGCCCCCAGCCTCTCCCTCTGGGAAGCTGAGAGGTTTTAAAATGACTCCCTGAGAGTTGGCTGATGTGAGCAGGAGAGGTAAAATGGGAGCGCTGCGAAGGAGGAATTTGGAGAGCGCCACGAGCCTTCTGGCCAAAGCTCATTTTTGCATCTTGCTGTCAAGAATGTGTGGGGTAAAAGCAGGTTTTGGGAGTGGTTTGTGAGAGCTGGGGCTGTTCCCTCCAGGTGTTTGGGGACAGCAGTTCTGTGCTGGTGCTTGGTGGCCCTGGTGGCACTGAGGGGTTGATTCCTTCGTGTGCTGAATTGCTGGAGGTTCCTGGATGTGGAATCCATGCTGGGCACAATGTTTGGTGCCATCAGTGCTCTTGTGTCACCAGCCTGAGGCTGAGCTCATGTGCTGAGCCCTGCCAGGCCCCCGTGTCACCTCACTGGACCCTGTCACAGGGAGGTCAGTCCCCTGGGGACAGGTTTTGTCACCCCAGTGGTGTGGGGGACAAAGTGGGAGGGGACAAACCCAGCTGACCTCGCTTGGCCCCTCTCTAGCAGAGCCTGAAGCTGACTCTGAAAGCTTTATTGATGTGCAGGGAGCTTTGGGATGTGCCCTCATGGCTCCAAACCCCTGCGTGCTGCTCCCTGGAGGATGGGGACCTTGGTGGGGACAGCAGGAGCGCCTTGGTGGCTTGTGCTTAGAGGGTGAAACCCCAACCACGGTGAGGGACTGTCGCCAAAAGTTAGTTGGCTTTAAGGTCTTAAATTTGAGGGGGAACTAGAGGCTCAGCCGTGCTCTGGATGTGTTGGTGGTGTCACCTCGAGGCCCAGGGGGACGGTGGTGGCAGCTGTGGGTGTCCCTGTGCAGGTGAAGGAGCTGGTGCTGGACAACTGCCGCACAGAGGATGGCAAGGTGGTCGGCCTCTCCTCAGACTTTGAGAACCTGGAGTTCCTCAGCATGATCAACATCAACCTGCTGTCCGTGTCCAACCTCCCCAAACTCAACAAGCTCCGGAAGGTGAGTCAGGACTCTGCTCCCATCTCCAGCAGCCCTTGGCCTTGTGCTGCCCCTGGTGGCAGTTGGTTTTCCTGTATTTGCCAGAAAATACATTGAATTTTGCTCTTTGCTCGCTATCTGAGCAGGAGGGGGGTTGGTTTTAATGTGCAACAAAAACCTTCTGAGCTCTTCAGGTGCTTAAATCCCTTCCTGTCTTGCTTTTCTGCTCTCGTGCTGCTGTCAGAAGCTTCATGACACCTTAAATAGTTTGGATTTTAGAGCACTTAGCAGCATGGGGGTGGCTGGCAGTGCTGTGTCCCTGCAGGAAGGGGGTTTTAAGCTCTGTGAGCTGAAATTTGTGTGCTCATTGTAGCCCAGTTCTTGGTGCAATTTCCTTCCCTGTATCACGAGCTGAAGCGTTTGGTGACAATGTGATATTCCCTCCCTTCAGCTGGAGCTGAGTGATAATAGGATTTCTGGTGGCCTTGAAGTTCTAGCGGAGAAAACTCCCAACCTGACACACTTGAACCTAAGTGGCAACAAGATCAAAGACATCAATACCCTGGAGCCCTTGGTGAGTGGAGGCTGTGCTGGAATCCCAGGGATGACTTTTGCTTTGGGGATTGGGTCTGTGCAGCAGGAATCCAACGTCTTGGTAACTGTTCCAACAGCACTTCGTGGTTCTGATGGGAACAGATTTGATCCCAGTTTGAGGCTGGGCCAGTAGTTAATGGCTCCTCAGTCTGGAAAAGCAGCAGCCAGTTGCTAAAAGAAGCATGAAATGGGGCTGGATGAGTAAAACTGTGGATGCTCAGTGCCCAGCTGAGAAGGGACCGGGAAAGGGTCGGAGGCAGTTGGAGGTAGGTGGCACCTGGGGTGTCATGGAATGAGGGAACTGGACAGCACTGAGGGCACCTGTCCCATCAGCCTGAAGGTTCTGCTGTCCCAGCAGCGCAGGGCTCCATTCCCATTCCCACAGCGAGGCTGGAAAAGGCCTCTGAGGCTCCATCTGAGCTGCCCCAGGAATGCTGTGAGGGGCACCCGAAGGTCTGACGCAGGGCGTTTGTCTCACTGGCTGTTTTGTCCATCCATTCCCTGCAGAAGGGGATTGGGATTGGTTTGCTCCTCCTTTCCTTGGCGTGGTGCCCGGTGTGATGGCCTGAGCCGGGCTGTGCCAAGGGCAGCCAGGCTGCAGCTCTCCCTGAGCTCTGCCTGATCTTTTGAGCAGGATGAGTCCAGCTCAGCTGCTCCTGAGCTCGCTGGGCCTGCTCAGAAGAAAGAAAGATTTGCAAATACACAGAGTTTGTTCCAGAAAGGGAAGCCAGGACAGAGGAGCTGGATAGAAATTCCTTGTGCCCACAATGAGAGGAGCAGTGACTCCTCTCCAACTGAGCAGCATGTGGGGCAAAACCACTCTGTGCTGGAGCTGTGCACTGCCCCATCCACCCTACCTTGGCTTCCCGATCTTCAGACAGCACTGGAAATAATCTTACCAAATTGATTTTTGCAGAAAAAGTTGCCAAACCTCCGCAGTCTGGACCTGTTCAACTGCGAGGTGACGATGCTCATCAACTACCGGGAGAGCGTGTTCGCCCTCCTGCCCCAGCTCACCTACCTGGATGGCTTTGATGCTGACGAGCAGGAGGCCCCAGACTCAGACCCTGAAGCTGATGGGGATGCACTGGAAGATGAGTATGAGAATGGGGAAGGTGAGGATTTTTTTCTCCTCCTGCTTTTCCTGCTTGGTAACGAGCCCTTTTTCACTTCAGGGGGGGCTGCAGCAGTGGGGTTGGCACTGGAGGAGGAGGGGCTGTGTGGGTCCCTCACCCCTTGGGTGTAGGGCTGGGAGGGATGGGACTTGCTGGGAGGTGACAGGGCTTGGTGCTGTCCCTCCTCATCCTCTGGGACCCTCCCTGCTGCTCACACTGAGGGGTGAGGGCTGCCTGGGTGTGGGAAATGGGGCACTTCCCTCCCTCCCCCTTTTGGTAGAAGGTGAGGAAGAGGAGGATGATGAGGAGGAAGATGATTTGGATGAAGAAGTCATTGATGACGAGGAAGATGAAGACGACGATCTGGAAGGTGAAGAGGAGGAGGATGGAGTAGATGACGAGGTGAGGCTGTCACCAGGTCACACGTTTGTCCCTTGTCTGGTGGCCCGGGTGTCACAGGAGCCTCTCTGGGGGCAGATCTGAGGAGTTCCTGGCTTTTCCCTGCACTCTGGACTGCTGGGAGTCACAAACTCCCGAGAGTTTTCCAGTTCAGCCCTGGCCTGGCCCTGCCACGGCTCTGGGTGATGGATCCATGCAGCCCATCCAGGGATGGGAGGAGCTCTTGGGGATCCAGCAGCTTCTCCTGCCACCCTGAGGCTCCAGCGGGGTGGCAGAGGGGAAGGAGGACTGGGATTACTGCCCATGGAATTCTGGTTCTTGCAACAAAGCCTCTTGTTTTCACTGCAGGAGGAAGATGAGGAGGAGGATGGTGAGGAGGATGAGGAAGATGAAGCTGAGGAGGGTGAGTTGAGTCCTGACAATCCAATTTCTTGCAGAGCCCCCTCAAGAGGGAAATATTTGGTGGTTTTGGAGCTTCCTCAGCCTCAGTGCAGGGCTGTTGTTGCTGCAGCTTTTCTGCCCAAGCTGGTTCTGAGCAGTGTCATCATCAAAGGGCACACAGGGAGGGAAAGGGGATTCAGGACCTCCAAATTCCAACTGTTGTGGGAAATGTGAGAGGGCAGTTGCTTAGAAAAGCAGTTCTGGGACCTGGTGGGCCATGCAGGAGCAGGGCTGCTGTCCCAGGAGGGTGTGAGGGGATCTCTTGGGGCACGTTCCCCTCTGATCAGCTTGGGGCCTGAGCTTGGGGCCAGACTCCTCTGCTGTAACAAACAAACCCCGGATGAAAGTTGACAGAATATTGTGGCTGGTGTGAATTCAAGTGATCTTAGATGAATCATGGAATTGTTAAGGTTGGGAAATCCCTTTAATACCGAGTCCAAAACCACCGTGTTCAGCTCTGACCCCTGTTCCTAAGTGCCACATTGACATTTCTTTGAGCAGTTCCAGGGATGGTGATTCCACCACTGCCCTGGGCAGCTGTGCCAATGCCTGATCACCTTCTCCTTGAAGGAATTTTTCCCAATATCCCATTTAAACTTCACCTGGTGCAACTTGAGGCCATTTCCTCTTACCTTGTCACTTGTTAGCTGGGACAAGACTGACCCCCCCCGGCTGTCCCCTCCTGTCAGGAGCTGTGCAGAGCCACAAGGTCCCCCCTGATCCCCCTTTTCTCCAGGCTGAGCCCCTTCCCAGCTCCCTCAGCTGCTCCTGGTGCTCCAGACCCTTTCCCAGCTCCATTCCCTTCCCTGGACATTCCAGCCCCTCAGTGTCCTTCTTGTCCTGAGGGCCCCAGAACTGCCCCAGGATCTGAGGCCTCAGCAGATCCAGCACTGGGGGCCATGAGCTTGGTCAGGGGTGCCTGATTTCTGCACATGCTGTGTTTTTGAGGGTGCTCAACAACAACAACAACAACAACAAAATCCCCTTTTCAGCTGTTGTACGGGATGCTTGGAGGGCAGAGAAGGTTGTTGGTGTCTCGTGCCAGCTTTTCCAGGAGGAGCAGGGCAGGGTGGATCTGCCCCCAGATGGTGCCAGTCTGTCCCGTGCCTGCTCCCAGCTGCAGAGCTCAGCTGCTGTTCTGTTCTGGGCTGGGAGATGAATCCCCCCTCTCTTTGCAGACCATCCGTGCGGGGTGAAGAGAAAACGAAGTCTAGAGGATGAAGGAGAGGAAGATGCAGAGGACGAAGAGGATGATGAGGATGACTGATCCCAGCGAGCCAATCAGTTTTACAGACTATGACTGTGCTTGTCTTAACCTCCCCGTTGTGTCTGTGTGAGACTGTAAATCCCTGTCTCCCACTCCTCCTCCTCCCCCTTTGTATGGCTGCAGCATCTACAATATATTTTTTTAAGATTTAGAATACTGTAGGCATTCAGGGGAATCTTCCATACAAGGCTCCATTTTTTTCTCACAAATATTTCATGACCAAAGGCTTTTCTCCGTTCGGTGGTTTGTGCAGCAGCTTAAAAAAAAAACAAAAACCCAAAAGGCAAAAAAAAGCGCCAAAAAAAAATCGAAAAAAAAGAGAAAAAAAAATCTGCTCCTTAGGGTATCTGTGTGTCCGAAATCAGCTGTGCCACACTGGACCCAGAGCTCCAGCTGTCACCCTGCCAGCACAGAAGGCCTTTGCCACCCTCGTGCCCTCAGCCCAGGGCTCTGAAGACGCTTTTGGAGCCACCTCGGGTGCAAAACCTGGTTCCTCTCCGTGGACTCGCAGCCATCCCCGAGGGTTCTCAGATTGAAATCATGGTGATGTGATCTCTGGACATGCTTGAAGATGCTTTGGTGCTGGGGGTGGGGAGGGAGGGAGGGAGGGGCTGCTTGCATGACCTGGTACCTCTGCCAATGCACCTTGCAGTAACCCTGCACTTGCTTTCCTGCTGGATTCTCTAAACTGGAACATGTTCCCGTTGGCCATTAAGAGCCGTCCCTCGGGCTGTCCCCAGTGAGGGGGTTTTTGTGGCCTGCAGCAGCTTTGGGAAGGGGTAGGGAAGGCAGGTGAGGGGGTACTGCTCCTCAGCCTCCTCATTTCAGTGTCCAGCCTGTGCAGCCACCATCACTGTGATGCTCCTGCAGACCGTGTTAGCCTGGAAATTCTCAGGGTCCTTCTGCCAGCCAGTGCCACCTCTGCACGGGCCCCTGGTGCCAGCCTGGCTTGGGCATCCTCCTCTTCCTCCTCCTGTCTTCCCAGCAGGGAGCAGAGCTCCAGCTCGAGGTGGAGCTGGCTGGAGGGAGGATTTGGGGAAGCCAGCCAGGTCCATGCAGCATTCCCAACCCTTCCCTGGCATCCCGGAGGTGTCCAGCCAGCAGCATCCCTCGGGTGGGGACAGCCCGGGGGTGCAGACAAGCACTGGCACTTTGTGGCATTCCCGGGAGCTCCGTGTGCCCCCGGGGCCGAGGCTCCAGCCCTCCCCTCCCCTCCCGGGGGGTTTGGGGTGTGTTCAGCAGCACATCCCCGTTCCTGTCCCGGGTTTGGGCTGTGTTCAGCAGCACATCCCCGTTCCTGTCCCGGGTTTGGGCTGTGTTCAGCAGCACATCCCCGTTCCTGTCCCGGGTTTGGGCTGTGTTCAGCAGCACATCCCCGTTCCTGTCCCGGGTTTGGGCTGTGTTCAGCAGCACATCCCCGTTCCTGTCCCGGGTTTGGGCTGTGTTCAGCAGCACATCCCCGTTCCTGTCTCGCTTTGCTGGTGTCTCTTGCATTGTACAGTCGCTGTGACCATTCGGAGAAGAACTAATCCTGTAAAATGCAAACTGAGTAACTTATAAATGTTTAAGGAATTTTAAAAAAAAGAAAAAAAAATAAGTTAGAGCAGCAGTTACTTCTAATTTTTTTTCCCTGCATTTTTAGCAGATTGTATGGATTTTATATTAGCCTAGTAACTGTCAGGTTTTGATTGGTCAGACTAGTCCCAGAAATAAGGATCTCCAGCCCTTTTGTATCTTTTGTTACAAAATTTGGATAAAACTTTAATAAAAACTTCAGTTTTTAAAAATCCTTTGCTATGGAGCTTGTCTTGGCTGCCTCTGCCTTGGGACCAGCCAGGAATGCTCCGAGTGGGGCTGTGGGGCAGCTTTGGGTTTCTGCTGGGGGCAGGGCTGGGCTGGGCTCGGCCTGGGCTGGCAGGGACAGAGTGGGGCTCTGCTGTGGGGTGGGGTGCCAGCACCGTGGGGTCCCAGCACCGTGGGGCTCTGCTGTGGGGTGGGGTCCCAGCACCGTGGGCTCTGCAGCACCCCCGTGCCCCCTTGGGGGGGCAGGGACAGCTTGGGAAGGGTCTCCCTCCTGCCTTTTGGGGTGGCACTGCCCCGGAGTGTCCAGTGGGCCGGGGGCCAGGGCAGTCACCTGTGCCAGCTGGGCACGGGGGGCTGAGCTGTGCCCCCTGCCCCACTTTGGGACCTCGGGGTCCCCCCTTTGGGGCACTCAGTGACCCCATGCTGGCTCTGTGATGAGCTCTGATGTCACCCCAGGGTGTCCATCCCCTGCTCAGGGCCCGAGGGGACCGGGCTGGACTTGGGGGGGCACGGCCCCAGCTCAGGGGGGCTGCAGGAGAGAGCCCCGGGGGCATCCCGAGTGCTGCTCAGCCTGGGGGGGATGAGGCAGGAGGAAGGAAAGGATTGTAGGAGGAAGGGTGGCAGGAGGAGGAAGGGATGGCAGAAGGAGGAAGGGATGGCAGAAGGAGGAAGGGATGGCAGAAGGAGGAAGGGATGGCAGAAGGAGGAAGGGGTGCCCACCCAGGGGTGCCCACCCCACCCAGGTGGCCACTGGGCCTTTCTGAGCCCTCTGCCGGTGTTTGTGGCCCCTCCCTGTGGCCCCTCCCGGCTCTTCCACGGCTCCCATCCCTCGCTCCCAGCCGGGGCTGCTGTGGTCCCAGCAGGTCCCAGCACGCCTCCCCTCAAACCAGTTTGCAGCAAACTTTTCACCCCGCTGGGCTGGGACTGGCAGAGCGGGGCTGGGGGAGCCCCAGGGTGCTCCCACGGGTGTGCAGCACCCCCGGGCTGGGCACCTGGGCCCTTGTCCCCTCTCAGTGGCTCTTTGTGCCATCCCATGCCCTCCTCCTGTGGCAGGGCCGGGACAGGCACGGGGATGTGGGGTCCCACCCTGCTCTGGGGTGCAGCTGCAGAGGCTCCAGCCCTGCAGGCTCTGGGTGTGCTGGCAGGGGCAGCATGGAGCATCCCTTCCCCTTCCTCAGACCTTCCCCTTTCCCAAACCCTCTCCCCTTCCCCAAGCCAGCCCCTGGCAGGGCCGGCCCGGGGGCACAGGGTCACACCCCCCTGTGTCCCCATGTCCCCCTCCTTTGGTTTTTGGGGGGCTCCTCAGTGCCAGCCCTGCTCCCCCCGCCCCCACGGGCACTGACAGAGCCTCTCCCGCTGCCACTCCTGTACAATTCCCATTTATTTTTCCGAGATCTCATTCCAGAGAAGTCCACTAACTCCTGAGAACCTACCGGGCTCCCCGCAGAGCCCCCGGGGCTGGAGCAACAAAACCTTTAGGGGAGGGAGATACAGAGGTTCCGGCTGCTGGAGAGTCCCCAAAAATGAAAAGGGAGAAATTCCAGGGGAAACATCGGCCCCGCTGCTGCTCCTGTCCCCAGGGAGGGCCGCCTGGCCCTGCACGGTGCAGGGGCTGTGCTGTGCCCCCTGCCCGGCTCAGGGCACGCCAGGAGAGTCCCTTGGGCGCCGAGGGCATCAAAGCTGGGAGTACAGGGAGTTCTCCATCTCCGCTGGCAGCTTGGCGTGGAACGGGGCCAGGCCCACCCCGAAATCTGGAGGGAGAGGGGAGAGAACTGTCAGCACCTCATGGGGGGGGACACACGGACCCCCAGGGGCATTGCAGGGGCTGGGGGGCACTGGGAGGGCACTGGGAGGGCACATGGACACCCCCAGGGACATCACAGGGGCTTGGGGGGCACATGGAGGGCACACAGACATCCCCAGGGGCATCACAGGGGCTGGGGGGCACTGGGAGGGCACACAGACACCCCCAGGGGCATCACAGGGGCTGGGGGGCACTGGGAGGGCACACAGACACCCCCAGGGGCATCACAGGGGCTGGGGGGCACTGGGAGGGCACACAGACACCCCCAGGGGCACTGCAGGGGCTGGGGGGCACTGGGAGGGCACACAGACACCCCCAGGGGCATCACAGGGGCTTGGGGCACTGGGAGGGCACACAGACACCCCCAGGGGTATCACAGGGGCTGGGGGGCACTGGGAGGGCACACAGACACCCCCAGGGGCATCACAGGGGCTGGGGGTACAGAGAGGGCAAGCACATGGACTCCTCCAGGGCACAGCAGGGGTTGGGGGGCATGGAGAGGGCACTGGGAGGGCACACACAGACCCCAGGGACATTGAGGGGCTGGGGGCACAGGGGGGGCACACAGACACCCCCCAGACCATTGCAGGGGCCGGGGGCACAGCGGGGGCACACAAACCCCTCCGGGCACTGCTGCAGGCTGGGGAAGCAGGGACTGGAACCCGGGAGTGGGATGTGCCTTATCCCCGCGGGGCAGCGAGCCCATCCCGCAGCCGGGGGGTCCCTCCCGTACCCATCTCGGCCTCCAGGCGGCCGGGCGGGGGGTTCTTGCGGTGGTCCTCGATGTGCAGGGTCATCTCCTGGCGGGAGGCGGTGGAGAAGGGGCACTGCGTGCAGCTGTAGCGGCCCCGCGTGTGCTCCCAGACGATGCGGCTGTTGTTGGAGTGCCCTGCAAGGACGGGCGGGCAGGGAAGCACAGGGATCGCCCGGGATCGCCCAGGATCGCCCCGGGATCGCCCCGGGATCGCCCGGAGCCGGGTGGTGCTGCGGGGCTGGAGACCCCCGCTCTGAGCCTCACTCGCTCAGGGTTCCCTTCCCAAGGGAAGACCCCGAATGTGGGAGCAGGGGGCCAGGCTGTGCCCCCCGCCCCACAGCAAAGGGCACGGCGGCTTCTGGGCTGGGACTGGGGGCACTGGGGGCACTGGGGGCACTGGGGGCACTGGAGCCCAGGCAGCTGCTGCTGCTGCTCCTCCTCCTGCTGCTTCTGCCCCCGGGGCCAGGCTGGGGGGTTTTGGGGGGGGTGCAGCCAGTAACCCCCCTGCCTCGGAGCCCAGCTGGGCCGCATCCCCTCTCCGGTGGCTCCCAAAAAGGAGGGAGCCCGCCCTCCCCCTCTGCTCTCCCGGGAGCACCGCAGTGCCCCTGGGGCATCTCCCACCCCCTGTGCCCCCCCCGCCGCCCCCCAAACCCCCCAGTGACAGAAAGCAGCCCCCACCCAGGAGGTGCCAAACTAACCTGGAGTCACTCCTGAGCCAAAGCATGGGAGGAGTGGGCTGACACTCACACCTGCGGAGGGAATCGAGGGCCGAGACAAGCATTAGGTCTTCCCCTCCCTGGGGGGACATGTGGGAGGGCAGGCCTGGCCCGGCCCCCCCGCACGCCGGGGAGCAGCAGGGCCGGGAGAATTTGGAGGCGTTTTTATGGCCCAATCGAGCATCATCACCCAGAGGGTGGCACGGGTGGGACGGGGCTTTTTTTTGGGGGGGTGGCCGGGCCGGAGCGGGGAGGAGGGGGCCGGGTCTTCGGCTGGTCCTGCTCGGGAGCTGCTGCTGGTCAAGGCGGGAGCAGAAGAAGGTTTGTCCCGCACGGCTCGGCGCTCTCACCTTGGCTTTTCTTCCAGACGGCGTTGGAGCCGCTGGGGGGGCCGTGGGCCGGCAGGAAGGGCCGCAGGCGGTGCTGAGCCGGGGGCTGCGCCAGCCCGTAGGGCGAGGGGGGCACGTAGGACAGGAACGGCACCGAGGAGGGCGGCGGCGGCCCCGAGAAGCGAGGCAAGGCCGAGGGCCCGAAGAGGCCGGGCTCCAGCAGCGGGAAGGGGTGAGGAGCCGGCGGCAGCGGCTCCAGCGAGCCGGGCAGCGCCGGGGGCAGCGCGGCCGGGGCACAGTCCGGCGATCCCTTCTGCGGCGGAGCGCTCGGCAGCCTGGGCAGCGGCTCGGCCGGCTTGGCCGGCGGCTCCTTCTCCGGGATGATGGGGACAGCAGCGGGCCGGTCGGGCCGGGGCGGCGGCGCGGAGCCCCCCGCGCTGTCGGAGCAGACGTGCAGGTGCTTGAAGAGCGAGCGGTGCGTGCGGAAGCGCAGCAGGCAGTTCTCACACCTGCCGGCCGGGAGGAGCCGTCAGAGCAGCCGGGCACAGCCCGCAGCCCCGGGGGGCTCGGGGGGCTCGGGGGTCCGCGGGGAGGAGATGGGGACGGGGACTCACTTGAAGTAGCGGTTGGGTTTGTAGTGCACCTTCATGTGGGCCATGAGGTCCTGCATGCTGGGGAAGGTCTCAGTGCAGCCCAGGGTGGGGCAGCGGAAGGTTTTGCCTGGGCAGAGGAATGTGAGAGAGATTCAGCACCAACCCCGCTGCTGGGGCCGCCCCCACCTCCCCCGCCAGCGCTGCCTCGGCTCTGAGCCCTGGCCTTACCCTCGAGGGACTGCGTGGGTCTGTAGTGCACCTTCAGGTGGTCCATCAGCTCCTGCATGCTGGGGAAGGCCAGCTTGCAGCCGTAGCTCGAGCACTGGTAGTGTTTCCCTGCAAGGACACCGATCCCGTGTCGGCCTCGGCCCTGCCCCGGCTGTCGCTGTCCCCTCCCCGGGGCGGGGCTGGGCTCACCTGGGACAGGTCTGCGCTTCAGCGGCCGCAGCTCCGGGGCCGGGGTCCCTCCGCTCCCCGCCAGCGGCATCGGGGCACCGGGCAGGGCTGGGGCACTGCAGCCTGCGGGGAGAGCTTGTGAGGCTCGGCCCTGCCCTGCCCAACCCTCCCCATCCCTCCAGAACAGCGAAATGGGGCCGGGGTTTGGCTGCAGGGGACGGAGAGGCTGGAGCCCCCCGGGTGGGAGAGCCTGCGGTGTGAAGGTGAAGCCTGCTGGTGGCTGGAACACGCTGGGTGATGCCACCTGCGCACCCAGGCACGTCCTGGCACACCTGGGCACATCCCCATGGGGGGGTTTGGCCAGAGGGACCTCCCAGCCACAGGACCAAAGG